GAAAATTTTATATTCTTTAAGTTCATTATTGTTCTTCTCAAAATATATTATTGTCAGCTTTCTATTCTTAAGTGAAAGAACTGACCAGGCATACTATAAACTCTGTCAGAGAATGAGAGCCACAGAATACGTAAGATGTGAGACAGTGCTCAGGATAGAAAGAGAGAGTAATATTTATAGTACCACCACTCAGGGGAACAGCTCTACAAGCAACATGCTGAACAAAATTAAAATTGCAGAAACAAGTGGCTAAATCATTCACCTCCAAGGTGTAGGTCACAGGTATGTCTTAGATCTTTTCCAGAAAGCTAGTTATCTCTTTTATAACTCTATGGTAACAGGTTAAAAAATAACCTTAACCTATTATTTTGCCTGAAAAAAAAGCATTTATATGCTTTTAATGTTGTATGTTAAGTTACAGAATTTGAAAGCAGTATACGCTGAGTGAACACTTGCATTAAACAGTTGTCTTAAGTTTGTTTTCTGTTTAAAATACAAATACTAAATCAATCAACAGATACTGTCACTTTTTTTTTTTGCCAAAGTATCTTGTCACATTTGAGCACATATCCATTGTAAACTTATATACAGTAATAAATGCTTACAATCCTACAGACAGACCAGTTACTGAACAAGTGTAAGCCTGAAGAATTTACTAATTCAGTCTCAAAAAAGATGCTAGAGAGACACCCAGTGGTACAAAACTGTGTGTACACACATGCCTACACATACAAAAGATCCTGTCTTCAATGTCACAAAAAGCTATTACACCACCCTTTTTGTTTAACAGTGTTTGGGTTATAATAAAACAAATGCACAGCAGCACTTGCACATATTTTTATGTCATCTGTTTCTTTACCTAGCAAGTATTTATTATCTTGTCCTACTGATTTTAATTCCCTATTCTCGTGTGTCCATGGAATAATACATAAAGATTGTAAAACTGTATTCAATAATTATGTTCAGATTATTAGATTTAACTAGAAAATTTTTATGTATATTTAAAAGAAATCTAGGGGTGCTGATAGGTGAAAAAAACGCAAATAACAAAACCAAAAAAACAAACTGAAAAGCCAAGATACCTGCTTATGTATATACCAATAGCAGGCTGAACTGCAGAACATTTAAGGGCTTTATGCTCTGTTCTAACTGCATAAACATATTCAGTAGATTTTTGGTTGTGATTTCACGTCCATAGGAAAAACTGTCAGTTGGCTAGACATGTCATAAAGTTACATGGAATAGCTACTGGATAGACAAAGGAATTGCTACTCCAAAGATCTCACTATTCAGTGGTCCTGCAAGCTCTGGTCTGGCATCACTCAGTAACTTGACTTCAGTGCAAATACCTTAACATGGAGCTTGACAAGGAGACTAGATTGGTTACATTTTGAGTCAATTAAGAAATTATTTGCAAACCTGAGGAGCTGTACCTAAACTGTCTTAAAGACATGCAAGATGCCAGCTGTTTTAGTCTTGCTAGACTGAAACTGAGTAAAAACCAGAATAGTATGACTTCAGCTTTCAGGAGCCCTCAAATTCATTCCAACCCTTTCAAAGGCTGCAGCCAATCAATTAGCACACAGGCTGTTAAAGTACCAAATTCTCACATGATTTAAGTGTTACAAACCCAGTCAACCAAGCTCTACCACTTCTAGAACAAGTATAAGTCGTCCCAGAATTCACCAGTAACCTTTTTCATTTAAGCATGTTTTAAAACGTATTAAATTCCTAAATATGAAAAAGTGACTAGAATTAAGAGAGCTGGATATAAAAATTTTCCTAATTAACAATTCATTCTGTTTGAAAACTAATCAATTGTATAGAGGCAATGATTTTAAGGCAACAGCACCATTTCCCATGCTTTGTTACTAAACTATTTGTAGAACTGAGAGTGCCAGTTGTTTTCTGAATCTTAACATCAGTACAGCCTCTTCTCTTGTAGATTATAGCTAGTAACAGCTTTTTTTCCATATTTTAATTTTTACTAAACATTATTCCAAAATACTCAAACATTACGTAGCATTTTATAGCTCTTATTTTTAACAGAAAAACTAATTTTCACAGATTAAGTCAACATAAGGCGAGAACAAGAGCTTAGTTTCCTGGCTCTCGGTAGACAAACGCCATCTTTGAAAAATCAAATTAAATAATTGTATTTACGCAGCATAAATGGGTCTGTTCAGTCTTGACACGGTAAATTTTAAATAAAACTTACTCAAAGTGTCTAACGTACCTTCTCTCATTTTGTAGAACTCTCCTTTGTATTTCCCACCATCTTTATATTGCAAGACTTTCCATCCATGGAACTTTCCAAACACAAACTGACTGGAATATGTGTTCCCTTGAACCAAACAGATAAGAAAATTAAACAGAAAAAAACAACAATCTGTCAAACATGGGTTTTTTAATGTATTTAAGGTTCACCAGTGACTTACAGAGCACAGACAGAATACATTCTAAAAGACTAGAAGTCTGTAATTAATACCTACTGTTTTACGAATGCTATCTAGAATAAAGTCTATAAACATGCCCATTCAGGCTTCATTTTAAAACTAATAATCCTTCTGGTTTTTAAAACTGAGTGAGGTGTTAAAGAGAAAAGATTCATAATATGTTCTTTTATGGTTAAGGAATGTATAAAGGTACTTGAATGTCACAGTCACCTTAACAGCTTTTTCATGGCATGTACTCATTCAAATCTTCCATGTCAAAGCTTGAAAAATCAGCTGCTTAGCACTAGGAGTACTGTACTGTGAATTTCCTGATGTACGTGTGGTTTTAGAGCAACGAGTAACTATTTTTCTGTCAAGTATTTACCCGATTTATTTATATGATACACTGTATTCCTTGCGGTCACCCATTATTTTCTGTCAGCCTTACTGCCTCTGTTGTGGTTGGGCAGGTGGAGAAATCACCAACTCACCTGTACAGGAATAAACAGAAAGAGGAGAAATTATTTTCTGGAGCAATTTACTGGGACAGTGCTTTAGTCAAAGAACTTCCTTCTGCTCAGGATACTACAGGAGAATGAATTCACTGAAGTGTTCCCTTGGTGAATCAGGCATGAGATACCCCTCCCTAATGGATAGTTTATTCATATTCTTTAAGTCCTTTAACATCTTTGGCCTGATCTTGTGGAACACTTCATATAAACACGAGTCTGCACGTGTGTGTATCTTTGAAGGACTGAGACGTTATCACAAATTGATGATACATGTTTCTGATTTCTACCATTAAACACATTTGACTAGCTTTCTGAGATGACTGGTAGTTAACCCAGACTAAACTGAGGCGCCAACAAGAAAACATGAAAACCGTACCTCTCCAATAAACATCATGGAAGTCTGACAAGTTAGGCTAAATCAGTTTGGCTGCTATATTCACGTTTCAGAATTTAAGGGGATAGGGATTTTTTTTTTAAAAAAAGGGTGTGTAATAGTTATAGGCTCACCTGTCAAGACCCAATATTGAAATCCATTCCCAAAATTTCTCCATTGAGAAACCTGCCCTCAAAGTAACTTCCATCTTTAAAGAACAGCTTGTCCTGACCTAGAAAATAAAACAATACTTCTGACCCCTTCTAACAGACAAATGTCCACTTCTGTTCTCAACTGCAGTCAAAAGTTGAAAGTCTCACATTTTTCTCCTTTATATGATTAAATTTATATCTACACATTGTCAGCACCTTCACATGCTTTAGACTTCAAATTTACCATTTTAACACCCAAACATGGACTCCAACTGAAAGAATTTACAAAGTATTTACAAGGCAGAAATCGTAAAGCCTTGAAATTAAATTTTTCCCTCTTGGCTCTAATAGAACAGAATGGAATAAGTTATTAAAACTCTTGAAGTCAAGAATCTGACTCCCACAGCAGTCTGTAAATTCTACAGCTATGCTAGTTTTACAGGTACCAATTTACTGTACTTTGTAAAAAGGGAGGGATCTGTTACCTTCTTGTTCTGTCTTACAGCATGCAAAAGATTTAAAGACTACAAATGACCCTATTACACCAAAAATAAAAAGTAAATTAAAAAGATTGTTGCAAGCTCAATGAATTTATGCCCCTCAGGTCAGGACCCTGAGAACACCCAACAGGCCCTGATTTCTCTGACAAGACTCACTTGAGGCCTCCACACACACCCCTGCCCACCGTGTTTAAAGAAAAACAACTGAAATTACTTGAGGAACCCAGAAAGGCTAGATTGAACACTGAGTAACCAGTCAATCAAAAGTAAAAGCGCTAATTTTACTCAGGAATACTTATTTTACAATTTCACTATAAACAACATTCAGGTGAAGATAAACATATTATTTTGCTTACTATTTATATTCACTTCACAATGTAAGGGGAACTCAGGTTCTTAAACATCTAAAGGTCATTATAAGCGCTACAGGCTACAGCCAGAAGCTAAAGCGTTAGCGACTACGCGACCTCTGCATAAACCAACAGCGTAGAAAAGAAAGCCAACCCACGAGAGGAAAAGCGTTTGTATTTACGTTAGCTTACACCCAGAAGCGCGGGCTTAACAAGAGACCGGACTTGGCGGCCGTAGGAGACTGCTCCTCGCCCCTCCAGGCTGAGGCGGCGCCGCGGGGCCCGCCCGGGACCGGCTCCTTCCCGCCCGCCGAGAGGCGGGAAAACGGGAAAATGGCAGGAGCTCGCGCCCGGCCCTTCCCGCCCA